GAAGAGTTGACTCATTGGAAAAGACCCTGATGCTGGGAGGGATTGGGGGCAGGAGGAGAAGGGGACGACAGAGGATGAGATGGCTGGATGGCATCACCGACTCGATGGACATGAGTTTGAGTAAGCTCCGGGAGTTGGTGATGGACAGGGAGGCCTGGCGTGCTGCAATTCATGGGGTTGCAAGAAGTTGGACACGACTGAGCGACTGAACTGAACTGAACTGAGGTCCTTTTGGCTCAGACAGTAAAGCGCCTGCCTATAATGCGGGAGACCCGGTTTCAATCCCTGGGTAGGGAAGATCCCCTGGAGAAGGAAATGGCATCCCACTCCAGTATTCTTTCCTGGAAAATCCCATGGACGGAGGAGCCTGGTAGGCTACAATCCATTGGGTCGCAAAGAGTCAGACACGACTGAGCAGCTTCACTTTCATTTTCCCCAAAAGGGCACTTGGTTTGTGTGGGTAAGGAGGTCTTTATCTCTGTGGGTTTTTTGAAGTGTTTAACATGGCAGACACTGACAGTTGACTGATGAAAACTCTATCCATCCGTCCCCGCTTCTCTCTAGCCATCTTCTAAGTAGGAATGGGTCATGTGGTGTTATTGCTGGCCAATAAGATATAAACCAAAGTCCCCTGAGTGGGATTTTTGGAAAGGCTCTGAGTTCCTAATAAAAATGAAGCAATTCTTGTCAAAAAAAACCTCTTTTTCCTTTGCCTTTCACACTTTTCTTACTCTCTGGAGCATGAACTTGAGGCCTTATATGTAAAGCAGCCATCTTATGACAATGAGACAATGAAGTATTGGTTCTATATTGTTACATGACAAATTACCCCCAAAATTAGTGGCTTAAAACATATCTGTTTCTGTGAGTCAGGAATGCAGATGTTCTGCAATCTCATCTGAATGCTCAACAGTGGGGAGCTCCACTTCTCAGTCAGTTCAGTCATTCAGTTGTGTCCGACTCTTTGCAACCCTATGAACTGCAGCATGCCTGGCCTCCCTGTCCATCACCAACTCCTGGAGTTAACCCAAACTCATGTCCGTTGAGACGGTGATGCCATCCAACCATCTCATCCTCTGTGGTTCCCTTCTCCTCCTGCCCTCAATCTTTCCCAGCATCAGGGTCTTTTCCAATGAGTCAGCTCTTCGCATCAAGTGGCCAAAGTATTGGAGTTTCAGCTTCAATATGCATGGAATTATTATCAATCCACTAAGAAGGATGAAAAGAAAACTAGAAAGTGCCTGTGTTGCTCATTGTTGAGTAGCACCCCAGTTGTGACCTGCCTCCCTTGATTCTCTATAATGTGA